GACAGTGGTAGATACTTGTTGATTTTTTCTGAGTAGGTACTTTGAAGGTTGACAGGGAGCGGAACCGCGATATCTATAATGTATGTTATCTTTTGCTCTTTTAACGTTAGCACTATGTCAGGGATGTTGTTTGGTATTGTGCGGTCTGTGATTATTTTCCTGTTCCAATACATTTTGTGTGACCCAGTCTCTTTAACTGGGAGGGGCGTGTAGCGATAGTATGGCTCAGTAGGTCCTTCATTGAGATAGCGCTTGACCAGTTCCAAGTAGATTATTTTTGCCACGTCGTTATGTCTTTCTAGATACTGTTTTGGGGCGAGTGTGGAACAGCTTGCGATAATGTGGTCTAGGTTCTCGTCTTTACCTCCACAGATTCTACATTTGATATTGTCTATATTTTCTCCCATTATTCGCTTTCTGTAGACTTTCGTAGGCAGCACTTGGTCTTGAATAGCCATCACAAACCCCTCTGTCTCCACGAACAGATTACTGGAACGCACCCACTCTTGGGATGCTTTGGTGTCTACTGCCTGGTCTTCAATTCGCGTTCTATAGCGTCCATGTAGTGGCTTGGATTTCCACTTCTCGATCAGTTCGGGGGGGATGACACCATCGCGGATGGATTGAGAGCTAGGTTGGCTAGGTTCAGTGGGGTAATGCCCTTATCTCTGTTGGCTAGTGCCTGATGTTCTGCTACTACTCGCCTTTTCCAAGAAGTATGTCCTTAGATTATCAATTTGCTGCTGGTAATGTCTGGACACCATACTGGGGATTCCTCTTCCTCCTTCGCGCCGTGCTAAGTGGAAGCGCTCTATTGCACTTTTAGGATGATGCGCCCTATACCGACGGAATTCTTTGCCTGGTACTTATATCTAGGGCTTTCAGCTCAGTATCAGTCCATTTGAGTATACCGAAGGTGTAGGTAAGCGTTGACGCTGCGTAGGCGTTCACTGCAACAGACGTATTTATAGCAGACAATTCTGATTTAAGAATGATCCTTAATCTTCTCAAGTATTCGTCGGTAGATCTTTGCTTCGACATTTTTTCTATGTCTGGTGCCTGGAGGTAGCCTAAGTATTTGTAGCGTTCATCCCTTTGCATATTGATGATCTCCCTTGCGACCCTCTTACTTTATACCCTTCATGCTCTGTCCACTTACCTTTAGTCATGCAACTTATGCGGCATTTATCTAAACCAAACGTCATTTGCACATCTTTGCTAAATCTGCTCACACAATCCAACAGCGCATGTAGGTGATCCTTCTTCTCTGCAAATAATTTCAGATCATCCATATACCAAAGATGAGATAGTTGTGTACCATCCTCGGCAATCTTTACGCCTTTTTCTTGACTGTTTAACAGCGATGTTAGTGGGCGTAAAGCTAGGCAAAACCATAGCGGGCTTAGAGAGTCGCCCTGAAAGATCCCTCGTTTTACTGACTTCTCCAGCATCTATCTGCGAGTCTGGGGTGTTAAGACAGAGACGCGTTTTCCATTTGGACATAATTTCACGATATGGTTTTCTATGCCATAAAGGTGTAGCACTTCCGTTAACCATGAATGTGGAATACTATCAAATGCTTTCTGATAATCGATGTATGCAGTGAACAAGGGCGACTTCTTTTTTTGCGTTATTATTTCATCGATTATCAGTTGTTCTTTACATCCTCTTGAGCCCTTCCGACATCCCTTCTGTTCCTCATCCAATAAGTTGTTACGTTCCAAATGATTATGCACTTTGTCAGCCTATAGCAGTAAGGAGTTTATACGCTGTAGAAAGGCAAGTAATTGGCCTGTATTTTGCGGGATCAGCAGTATATTGTTCAGTTTTTGGGATCAGGTATGTAACTCCTGTTGTTAGAAATTCTGGGATAGTTTCCGGCTCTCGAGGAATGTTGAGTAGCATTTCGCAAGTTGTTGGTGGGTGGAAGTAAATGCCTTTATCCAGTAATTGTGAACACCATCTGGCCCTGGAGCTCTCCAATTGGAAGTCCTACCTATTGCTTTCACTACATCATCCTTAGTTATGGTCCAAGACACATTGCTGTATGGAAGTTCTAGCCTTCTCTTGCTGATACCAATGCGCTGTTCTGTGTTCTCTGGGGTTGCTCCATATACCGCTCCAGAAGTGTCTTATGTCTTCTGTGTTAGGAAATGATGTTTTCCTTGTAGTGTACGATCTGATTCTGCCCACAGATTTATAAAATGCTCTCTGATTTCTATGAAACAGGATGTTTTGTTTACGACGTTGGCTGCTCTTCTTATATCTCTTCACTCTTTGAGATAAGGCTAATAGTCTCTGCTTTAGAAGGTCCAAAACTTCGACTATGGTTGGGTTTTCTTCCGATGTATATCGTCGCATTATTGTGTCCCCTTTCTTTTTCACTCTCTGGCAATATGTCGGTTTTTGGTACTGCGTTAGGATAGCTATATCGCTCCTGATATTATTTATGTTCTTGCTTAGCCTCCTTTCCCAAGCTGGCTGCCTTATTATTATTTTATTACTACTATTATTATTATTATAATTATCATTATTATCATAATAATAATAATAATTATTATTATTATTATTATTAAATATATATTAATTAATATATAATAATAATAATATAATATCAATTTTTTTTAGACGGCATCAACTTCTATGGTTATTAGCCGTATTCTAATATATAAAATATATATAAATCTATAGTATAAAATATATATCTCTTACATGTCTAAGTGGTAAATGTCGCATTTTTAAAAAACTAAATATGCAAATTCCAGATATTAATCATTTACTTTCAGATTCTATTAGCAACAAAGGATAATCTCTGGGAAATGCTACACAACGAAATTTGTCAATCATATATTCATTAATATTATTTTTTTGTGGCCATTATCTGCATTTCACGATCTTGTTTGCGTTCACGTAAGTATTTCGATTTATACAAATTCTATTGCTACAGATTTCTTTTAGTTCCAGATGACAACACTAAGCTAAGGTAGGTAAGATGCAAAGCCATCGTTACATAAGATTCATTTAATCTCAGTTGAGAATAAGATACACAAAAATTAGAATGGTTCATTTCCAAAAAGTTCATTAGGTCAGATCTTCCAATAGAAACCAGATACTTTTAAGAATGATATGACGTTTTTCAGTTTTTCTGGTTGTGTGGACTCTCTGTCAGGTTATCAAATGGTCCATAGATCTCTCGATATTGGGACAATATCGGACATGTGCAGATAATGTGGCGTACAGTGAGTGAAGAGTTACATCCAGTGCACAAGGGCGGATCTGTTCCGAGCAAGAGATGTGCATGGGTAAGACGTGTGTGGCCAAAGCGTAAGCGATGTATGCGCACCCATTCCTCCCGTGGCAGTCTGATAGGATGTGGCCATGATCCTACACTAGGTTTTATCTATCTGTCTTAAGTGGGTATCAGTGTTACCCCATGTAATTTGCCAGTGTCGCTGTATACGGTTTATGAGGAAGTTTTTATGATTAGACATTTTTATTTCAGGGATGTCGATGTTTTGTTGCGCTGCTGCTTTCGCTGCCATATCAGCAGCTTCATTCCCCTGTATGACAACGTGTCCTGGCAACCACAGAAATTTTGCGTTCACCCCTTTATTTAAAAGATGTTTGACAGTTTCAAGACACATCACAATTAAGGAATCTCGAGATGCATAGTTCATTAGGCCTTGAAGTGCTGAGAGCGAGTCACTAGCTATAATAGCTGTTGTTTTGATTCGACATGTCACAATATCGTAGGGCCTGCCAAATAGATATTGTTCAGCAGTAAATATGGATGCTATTGGTGATAGTGTCCATTGATGTGTAGTTTGATCGACTACTATAGCACAGCCGACACCACTGTCAGTTCGCGATCCATCTGTATAGATAACTGTTGCTGCCGGATATCTAGAAACGATTTCCATAAAACGTGATTTTATGAGTTTAGATGGATGGTCATTCTTAGATAGTGCAGTCAGCTCGAGATTCACATTTATTTTGGGTGACAGCCATGGAGGAGATTCTCTGTGTTTAACATTATAGATAGGGTTACATGATATACCAATTTCCTCGGCATATTCTTTAACTCGGATTCTGAGAGGCCTTGTTATTGTGAGGCGACAGATGTTGCACTCATCCGTACTGAAAATGAAAAGTTCCTATGGAATGGTCGTGTTTGAATCTGCGCAGAATACGATAGTGCAAGTTTTTTACGTCTAATGGATAGAGGTTCAACTCCGGATTCGCAATAGAGGCTAGCTGCTGGAGTTGTACGAAATGCGCCAAGACAGAGACGTAATCCTTGGTTGTGAACTGTATCAAGTTTTTTAAGCAGTGACGGTCTTGCAGATGAGTAAACAATGCTACCGTAGTCAAGCTTAGATAGAATGATGCTCTTGTATATCCGCAACAGCATCTCAGCTTCTGCTCCGAATCGAGTTGACGACAGGCATTTTATTAGGTTCAGGGTTCTCTTGCACCTGCTAGTAAGATCCTCAATGTGTTCCCTCCATGTCAGTTTACTGTCGAGTGTTAGGCCTAGGAATTTGACAGAAGATACACAGGGTATGCGTTCATTGTTGAGACAGAGGCGTGGATCATAGTGTGGTCATCTAAGTCTACAGAAATGGATACATCGTGTTTTTATCCGTGATAGGGTCAATCCCTTGTTCTCAGCATTTTGAAAGATGGTATCAATAGCAGGTTGTAGAAGACGAGTAGTTTCACCAACAGTTTTTCCTGAAGTTAAAATGCATAAGTCATCAACATATAAGCATTGGTTTATAGCAGGATTGACATTCTCAGTGATGGAGTTTATTGCTATCGCAAAAAGAATGCAGCTGAGGGTTGATCCCTGTGGGATACCATTTTCCATGATGCGTGTTGTGGAAAAGGTATTTCCTATTCGTACTTGGAGTGAACGATCTGTCAAAAATGATGGTATAAGTATCGGTAGATTTCCTCCAATTCTCCAGCGATGTAACTGTTTGAGGATATCTATCACGTCATATCATAGGCTTTTTCTACATCAAACATCACAGCCACAGTATGCTGTCTGTTTTTGAAGCCATTTGGTATCAAGTCCTCAACGTAGACTAGTTGGTCCAATGTGGATCTAAACCTCCTGAATCCTGCTTGGTGTCTTACAAGCAGTTCATCATTTTCCAAAATCCACATTAAACGTTCACAAATCATTCTTTCCAGTATCTTACCCAGTCAGCAGGTTAAGCTTATAGGTCTATAACTGGAAGCCACCAGGGGATCCTTACAATCTTTCAAAATTGGTACAATTGTGGCAAGTTTCCAACATGTAGGATATACACCATTTACCCATATCTCATTGTAGATGTCCGGCAGGATGACTTTGAATTTCTGTGGTAGATGTACGATCATTTCATAATTAATCTTATCTGGACCTGGAGCTGATTTGGAGATATATTGAAGTACTGCCTCTAATTCATGCATTTCAAAGGATGCATTATAATTGAGATAATTATTTGTGGTCTATATGGATTTCTCTTTGCATTTTCTGGGCTCTAAAGGTCTTATTATAGTTGGAGGAGCTGCTAATGTTAGCAAAATGGTCTGCAAGGTGATTGGCGATGCTATTTTCATCATAGTTTTTTTCCGTCTATTCCATACCTCACTTGATGGGGACTCAGATGTTATGCTGGATACATAATCTTTCCACGACTGCCTTTGATTTTCCAACATTAGGCGTCGAGACCTAGCTCTGGCCCGCTTAAAGGAAATAAAATTTGCCGTGGAAGTTTGCCTTCTGAATGTGTTTAGCATTTTTTTCTTTATTTTGATAGATTCAGCAATTTCACTATTCCACTAGGGTAGTGTACGTCTACCTGGGATACCTCTACTGAGTGCGTTATAGTACAGAAGATTTACCCCTACCACTAAAGAAGAGGATCGAGTTTCCCTGGATCAGCGCTTTGCCTTATCCAGTCCTATTTATTGTATTCAGAGTTAGTTAGTCTGTTGTTAGCGCTCATACTACATACATCAATAAATTGTATTTTTGATAATCGAGAATAAATCTTTTTAAAAAGCAAGTAGACTGACTCGGTCAGATAATTGGCGCAGCCAGATCGGATTTTCGGGCTGTTTCGCGAATCAATCGAGACCGCGAAAGCAGTTTTCGTATCGACGAATTTACCGGAAAAACGGCCTACGGACTAAAGACTTTGGTGAGTGGGAGTTCGAGCGGAACCGGTCTATCGAAGACACCGTGTGCAGCTACCACCTACGAAGTCAGGGATTTGGACCACACATCGCCCAAATCTGCAAGCGGAACATTTTGGAGAAGGACCAGATCGCCCAACCAAGATCGTCCCCTTATAGTTAAGCAACCAAGTAAAGACAAAGAAAGAAACGTGATGCACTTGATCATCCTCGTATTAGCGTAAGTGCAACTATACATTTTAAATGTCTTTGGAAGATATTGCAGAGGCTATAGATAATTTGACACTTTCAACAGACTCACCTATTTTAAGACCACCTAGATTAAATATTGAAAATATTCCAAGCATGTCTCAATTCAGACCAGAATTTTTAAATTGCGTCCCAGAGTTTGACGGAAATCCTAATGACTTAAATAGGTTTCTATCAGTGAGTGAAACATTAATTGCAAATTTTTATGATATACGGAACCCACATAATTTCCAAAATATCTATTTGCTAAATTCACTGATCTCGAAATTAAAAGGAAATGCTAAAGTGCTTGTGAATATCCAAAATATCACAAGTTGGGCAGATTTAAAAGACATTCTGACTAGGAATTTTTCTGATCAAAGAGATGAAACTTGTCTAAATCGTGATTTGGTTATGTTGAGGCAAATGCCAAATGAAACGCCTCAAAAATTTTATGATAAGTGTCTTCATATTTTGAATCTGCTATGCAGCCATGTAAACGTACATGAACATTCTGAAGAAGCAAAAGTGTTAAAAAGAAATTTATATCAAGAATTAGCTCTGAAAACATTTTTGTGCGGACTACGAGAGCCCTTGGGTACAACAATTAGATGTATGAAACCCACATCTCTCAGCCAAGCTTTACAATTCGTTATATCTGAAGACAATGTCAGCTATTTCCAAAATTATAACAAAAATTTTGGAAAATCACAAAATGTGCCCCAGAATCAAACTTCCAGGCCAATGCATGAAAATGAAATCAAATAGACCTTCATACTTTCAGCCTACTAATTATTCATTCAGTCAGCCGAACACTTCAACATTTCAACCTAGGTTCAATTCGACTTTTCCGACTGGACCTGTAAATTTGCCAAGACCAGTTTATCGTCCTCAGAGATTTCCGACGAATTCTCAAGTTTTTAGACAAACACAGAATAACAGAAACGTTTTCAAACCTAACCCTAACCGTACTTTACCACAAACTACTCCAATGAGTACTTCTACTAGAATTTCTTTCAAACCTGAACATAATTCGACAGCCCAGCAACAACCAAAACCAAATTGGATCGCTGAAGAGCTATTCAA